ATGTAGCTGTACCTATAACTTAATATTAATGTAGCTGTACCTATAACGTAATATTAATGTAGCCGTACCTATAACGTAATATTAATGTAGCTGTACCTATAATGTAATATTAATGTAGCTGTTTTTGTTTCGTTTTTATATCATTTCTATTTACTTTTCATTTTATATGCTTTTTATATGATTGTCTGTTGTTGTCTGTGTTCTTTGTTTAAAACAGGTCTCTCTTGTAAATGAGTCCTCGAGGCTCAATGAGACTAACTGTATGAATAAAGGTTAAATAAATGCTTTATATAAGCTGTATACTGAAATACAGTTCTAGAGATTTTAAAGACATGAAGGGGTTGTTCTTTTTAATGTAAAAAGTAGTTCATTAAAAGCTTGGCCAATCAACAATTAATTGTTTTATTTCTTTGGGGAATGTGGCGCATTTGTATCACATACAGCAGCTTTTAATCACTGCCGCCAAAGGCAATGGTGATAATGTTTTTGTGTGTTTGTTTGTAGCGTTATGAAATTATCTTGTGAACCAATGAGCAGATTTTAATAAAGTCACTTGATAAACTTTGGATATCAACCTGATTCAAGTCGCCGTCATAGCCAGCTAATCTTGGAAAATGCCTAGTTGGCTATAACTGTTAATCTGACAGATATTTCATGCAGATTCCATGTGTTGTGATTCTCATGTGTTTACACTTTAAACTGTTTTCAAAGTTCGGCCAAAACCACAACTGAGTCATTTCTCAACATAAAGACGTGTCTCATCAATTGGAACACTTTGCCATTAATTTTGTTTTAGTTTATTTGTTTGTGTGTGTACTATTATATCTGCTATAAGTGTCGTATTAACAGGAAGATAAACCCCAAAGTTCATGCTCAATAATCCAGGCATAAAATCCAACAATGTCCAGTCAGGTCATTTGGACGTTTTTTTTTGTGCTGAGACGTTTCGCCCTCCGTCTGAAGGGCTTCATCAGTCTGAGGAAACACCAAACAAAGGTGCTTCTCCACCAACAGCCTGAACCAAAGTGGAATAAAACAGTTATACTGGTGCCCCAGAGACCATCAGCACCAACACAACTGTTTTTTTCCACTTTGGTTCAGGCTGTTGGTGGAGAAGCACCTTTGTTTGGTGTTTCCTCAGACTGACGAAGCCCTTCAGACGGAGGGCGAAACGTCTCAGCACAAAAAAGAAACCGTCCAGATAACCTGACTGGACATTGTTGGAAGAAGATAAAATGTTTAATGCACAAAAATTGTTGCAGCATAAAACAGAAAGATCACTTCATATTTTATTCACGTGTTTTCCCTGCACGTGTCAGCTGTTTGTTTTCATACTGCAGGTAAAAACTGGGACCTCAGCGCTGCTCTGAATGATTACGAGGAGCTCCGGCAGGTCCACACTGCCAACCTGCCGCAGGTCTTTAACGAGGGCCGCTACTACAAGCAGCCGGAGACGCGCGACACGCCCACCCATGTCAACAAGATCGACAGGCCGTGCGCGCAGAAGCAGGAGGACAATGCCCAAGGTAAGTGCGGCCAGATCGGATCATCGTGCACGTCTTCCTCTTGAACCTCTGCTTTCATCTTGTTCTCCATGTGCGTCATTGCAGAGAAGCGTCTGTCCCGCGGGATCTCCCATGCCAGCTCTGCTATCGTCTCCCTGGCTCGGCTGCAGGTGGCTAATGAGTGCACGAGCGAGCAGTTCCCCTTAGAGATGCCCATTTACACATTCCAGCTGCCCGACCTCAGCGTCTACAGCGAGGACTTTAGGAGCTTCATAGAAAGAGATCTGATAGAGCAGTCCACCATGATGGCTCTGGAGCAGGCTGGTGGGTATTTTATGAAACACTTATTGTACTTCTACTGCAGCTTTGTGTACACTGTACGAAAACGCTACGTATTGCGTACATCACCGTTTGAGATTGCACTAAAAACGGTGGAGCTGCTCAGATCTGCAGTAACAGGAAATACCAGTAAGAGTCAATAATGCAGACAGATGCTCAGGATGAGGCGGATTCAGAGCGACAGATCAGATCAGAGCAGCACCATTTGGAAGGCAGACGACAACAACTAATTCAAAGCATCCCGGATCCCAGAGGATTTACGCCCCACCTGACAATTTCAGCTGAAGGAGAGGATCTAGTTAGTGAAGTTTTAAAGAAATTCGTGCCCGTCTTATCTCTCTGATCGACACCTGGAAACAGACAACGTTGATTATGATTGAGTGAACGCTGACTCAGCATTCACACAGCCTTTAGCTAGCATTTTGCTTCTTTAACCTTTACTAACTCGGTTTTAGCTTGTTTAGCAAATTTATGCAAAATCATTCACACTTTGGGTTCATTTTTTGTGAAAATACAATTTCTCTAGTTGTAATTATTATTCATTAATAGATAAATAAAGAATATATTGACTTCAAATGTTTATTTAGCTGTATTTTAAACAGGCCAGCTAAACACAGTATAGCAGTGAGGAATTTACATTCCTGAAAGTAATGTTGACTTTGTCCATAAAAAGTACCTCGCATAAATACACTCTCAAATACTCTGTAGTATATACTGTATTTAAGAAAAGCTACAGGGAACCATGTTATTCTTGCTGTTTGTGTGATTCAGCATGAGCCATAATTTCCAGTAAGCACTGACTGCATATAAATCCATCTTTAATTTAAAAAATATATAAAAGCAGTGGGTGGGGATGTTTTTGATATAGCAAAACCTAACTCACAAACCTCACAAGACCAAAGTGAAAAGTAGAAGTGCAGATTGACGAAACATCTGCATTTTGATTGCACCTACGCTGAAGGCTGAATCGTTCAGAGGCTCCTCTGTGTTTACTGTTGGTAAATAAATGATGCGTGCAGGGAGGCGTTGTGCAGAGCTGTGAAACATTCGTGTGCCTCTGGAAACCGAGCACGGCACTGAAGCAAAAGAAAATGATGGTTTTGGTGAAAGTTGGACAGAGGCAGAACATATTTGTTGCGTTTTTTGCGGAGACAAGTATCTGGAGACATTTCAGTTCTTAGTTCTTGGCAGACTGTTGCAGAATTCTGCTGTATTGCTGATTTAGACATAAATCTGATGAAGGAATCATTTTATTAAGTTTAAGGAAGTCAATGGAACAACTTCACAACAAAGTGGTGGGAGGTGCTCAAAACTACACTAAAAACTGCAGAGGTTTCATAAACAATAAAATTTATGAGTATTACCACGTCGCTGAAGGATTTGAATAGTAAATAGTCAATTTTAATTAAAGTAAATAGTAAATTTGTATTTTTTTTAGATGAGTGTTTTTCTGAACTTGGATTGAACAGGGAATGCAAGTACAGTTGCCCCTCTTTTATCCCGCGATAAGTGAAAAACCACGAAGTAGTAATAGTAGTACAAGTAGTAAGTAGTTATTTTATTATTTATATAAATACATATAAAGGCATTTTAAACCCTTCCCACACTCTTGCAATATTCTAAACAATGTTTCTAAACTCTAAACGCTCTAAAAGAGCACATACTGTCATGATTTCAGCTCCCTGCCTCCTCTGCTCTTTGCCACGCCCACTTCTCAGCTCTGCACGGTGAGCAGCTGATCAGCTGCAGCATGAAGTTTATTCTGCAGTATGGGCTGCACAAAAGCGCGGCAGGTGCTACATAATTTGAAATAATTTATTTTAAATAAAAAAATCCATGCCAATCGTGCGGCTCATCCATCAATCAGCCAATTGTGTGTCGTGTCCGCTCTTATTTTGAAAAACTGTGATAGAGCAAATCCGCAATAAACGAACCACGAAGTAGCGAGGGACTACTGTAAACCCAAATGTATTTGGTGCAAGTATTCCAGTGGGGAGGAGGTACACTATGTTTATGAACAGGCAGATTTTATTTGGTCCAAGGCGGTGCAGAGTAAACTGGCCCTTGAAAGTCTTGTCCAGGCCAAAACATTTAAGAAATGAGAACGCCCTGCTACATTTGGCTTGCTGCTGCCGTTGTTTGTTTATTGATTAATTTTTGGTTGACACCATCTTTCCTACGTATGTCCTCATTAAATTGGGATATGTTAGTAAAAATCTTTTTTACCTGAAACATGTTGTCTTTTCCCCTAAACTTTGTCGAGTATACCAGAATGCTTAATTTACATGTTAAAAAATTACAAAATCTTTCGGGGTGGGTGATGGGAGGCAGGCACTAGGTCTGTCACCGTTTTCATCCCTTCTGAGTTAGCAGGTATGATAAATGGTGTCCCAACATTTCTGCAAGACAAGCATGCCTGAGGATGTTTTCCCTGTGGCTCTCATAATAATTATAATAATAATATTAATAATATTTTTCCACTTTGTCTTTTTTACTATGTAGATTTTACTGCTTGTAAAACATTCGCAAAATCAGAAAACCCAAAGTTCAAGAGTTTTATTCTCACCTTCTCCTCTAAATTGTTGAAAACACCTTCGTCATAGTCTGTGATTTCTCACTGAATTCAGTTAAATCACCATTAAACACATTTTCCTGTTGTCAACAGAGCAGCCAGTTTATTACATGAACAATCAGAGCAGTTTGGTCCTTTTGAGATGTAAGATGATAAATATTCAAAGCCTAGAGCAGAAGTAGAAAATAGTTCCTGCAGTGATGAGCAAAGTAAAACCACAACAGTAAAGTCAACGTGTGTGTTTTGATTCCTGAAGCCATGTGTCTTTATTGTAGTCGCTCCCAAAATAAAATAATAACCCTGCACACATCCGTATGGTGAATTCTTTAAGGATCACAGTGAGAATTACCTTCAGTTGAGGCTTTTGTTAAAATTTTATGGCATTTCATTATTTAATAAGACAGATGGAAAATAAAATAATAAGTTACCGGTTGAGCAAGACAAGAATGCTAACAATCTGTTCTTAAATTTCTTAATTTTATTCTCTGGGAGACTATGATGTAACGATATGTAAATTAATGTCAGTTTATGACCATCTCTGAAGACCTTTTTGTGATTAGTTCACATTATTAGTTTGAAGGGTTTTGTGCTTTGTGTTGCCCTCTGTAGTCTGTTTGTGTTTTAACACATTTAAAATTATAATTTTTGTTCTTCTGCAAAGCTCAGTTAGATATTAGTGTGGTAGCAAAATTTGCCATATTTGTATTTTGTCAAAATATGATGAGCAATAACAGTATCTTTGGGTCTCTTGAATGAAATGTTTGATATATAAAACTAAATAAGCACTTTTCTGAGCAGAACCAACAACTAACGACCATTTTGAGCAGAAAAAATCATAAATGTTTTCTACTTTCCCTGCACTGTAGCAGTACCGTATTTTTATTTTCGTATAAGTTGCGGTTTTTTTTGCATAATTTGCATGCCCTGCGACTTATATCCAAAGAAACGTATTTTTGAATTTTTTTCCATATTTATAAACCAATTTTTGGTTGAGATATGACCGTTTTCATTCATTCTGACTGAAAAAAAAATTAGCACTGACATTTTCAGCCACTAGATGGCAGTCGAGTGTTATGGCATGGCGTTGTATCATGTAATAGGTATAAGTGGCTATTAATGACACAATCGGCTAGCCATATCCTGCAACCGTCGTCTGCCTGGAGCAACCGAATCAGCTTCATTTCGCTGCGCGGCCCCGACGAAATGCAGCTAATTTGACCGTCAAAGTGCATTTATTAAGGAAAAGTTAGACTGAGACACACCTTTACTATAAAGTCGAGCAAACAAATAATTGTTTTAGGAGGTTAAAGTGTTAAATTTCTAATAAATGGACAGCGAGTCGCCCTCTGCGCATTCATGTTTCATCGTATTGGCTTTTGAAAATACAGCTGATTTGACCGTCAAAGTGCATTTATTAATTAAAAGTTCAACTGAGACACCTTTACTATAAAGTCGAGCAAACAAATTATTGTTTTTAAGCGTTAATCTTGTTAAATACTTGTTAAAGTCCTCCCGTGCATGCTCCTGCAATTTGGCAGCCCATCGATTTTTGGCCCACATTTCCGGGTTGTCAGTGGTGACGTGTAACAAATGCGACGTGTCAGCGGTGACACATAATAGATGCGACTTGTACGGCGAATTTATGAATTTTTTCACTTTTTTAGAGATATTTGGACTGATGAGACTTATAGGGCAGTGTGACGTTCACGGCGGAAAATACGGTAATTAAAGACTTTCCAGCTTGGAAATCTCAATACCTAAATATGGTTTGAATTTTTTTTTCTTTCAGATTCTCATAAAATAAGGAAAAAATAGGATTCAGACCAATCATCTTGGGGTTTTCCTGGGACAGGACAAATTAATTCATATCTCATGGTGTCTGTATGATCTGGTTATCTAAATGTTTCTTTAAAAGCCAGGAATCTGTAAATGTGCTTCGTTCAGTTTGACCAAATCGGATTTAAAAACTTGTTGTTTATTTTTACCTCCTAATGAAATTTGTTGGGCTCAGGACGTCTGAACTGGTGGTCCACCACGTGCACCAGCTGCAAGAAGCTCCTTCCTCTGGCCACCACGGGGGATGGGAACTGCCTTCTGCACGCTGCCTCTTTAGGTGAGGGTGTTTGTTTGCTATATTTTTCTCAGATAAAATAATATAGCTTTAAGACATGAGAACATAGTCAGATGTGTTCTCATGTCTTAAAGCTATATT